AAACACATTTGTCAGTTAGATATTATTGGGGTTTTGTTCAAGATACTTCAACTGATTCCAAAACTGCAGTCCAGTTCCAATTTTAATTCAGTAGCAGTTCCAGTAGAATTTATTTGTGAGAAGTTAACAAAAGCACAGTAGAATTTCAGTCAGACCAGAGTTTAAATTAAAACTAGAACCAAACCACAACTGAACTGCCATTTTGAAACCAGCCTTTGTCACTCCTTGAACAACAGGAATTGCATTTGCATTATCATGCTGACAAGTATATCTCCTTGAGAATCCTGGCAGTGAAGTCTATGCCTTATGCTATGTATGATATGCATGACACTGAAGGAAACAGACCCATGAATAAGAAAGGAATGAGAAGAGATTTTCAGTGCAACCTGCTTGAGTCTTGGGAGGATAGAGCTTTTAGACAATGACTGACTGGACATGTCTAAGGGGCTCATATATTAAATTTTTGAGGGAGGATAGTGAATGGAATGACCTGAATAGTTTCAAAGATGCTCAAGCTCAATTTCTTAAAATAAATAAAAACTGTACATGAATAGGCGATACAATCAGTACGATAAACCAACAAGAACTGAGTTCAACATAAATGGATGAAAAATGAGAAGTAAATTCTGAATTTTAAACAGAAAATATGTGTCACATTTATTACCTACATGTTGATGAAGCAGGCTATGTAAGATTTAATGCCACAAAGTTCATGGACTGATGCCATAATTCCCCCACATTTATCTGTGACTTCAGTGACTTGATTCCTTTTATAAGTGACATCCTTCAATTGCAATACAACTTTCTTGCACAATTTGCCAAACTGAAATGCTAGGTGAAGACCATTTTCTGCTATGATATGAGCTGCAGTGGTGGCGATCTGTATAAAACCTTCAGACTGCTCAAAAACTGCAATTTCATGTGAAGGAACAACCATCAATTGCAACTAGCAAGATTTGGAGGATATGGGTGGGGGGGAAGACGTTTGGCTTAGGTCCAATTGTGTGATGCGTTCAGGATGAAGGAGTTAGGCCTACTCTCATTCAACGAATAGGCCTTGGTATACAGTATTTTTATTTGGCTTTCCACTCCTTTAGTCGCACGTCGTACAGTACATTGTCTTCCGTGACCCCAAGGCGAGGCTGCAGAAATAGCATCCCCGGTCTCCTTTTGCGAAGAACGCTTTATGCATATCCCCATGTCAAATCCACTCGTATGGAATGGGTCAGACTTTTTTTTTCTTTTTTTTTTTTTTAGAAGGGCTCGAACTCGGCTCGGTCGGTCGACAAAATAATTGCTAGATCGGTTCGAAAGTCGAGGCCGGCCATCCTGGGAATCGCGACGATCGATGACGGGAAACGACAGGAACACGCCCACCCGGGAAAGTCCGTCGTGGAAACGGCTAACGATAAGGTGTCGGCTTGCGTAACGGCCGAGGGGATTTATGACCGAAACTCCCGTTCGGGAAATATTTTTAACGACCGGTGCGATGTGTGTCGCACGCAACCTCATGGTTATTATTGCCGAAACCGGCCGAGATCTTCGTCTAGAAGTTGAATATCGGTCGTTGCACGAGTCTTCGCTGCAGAAAATATTCTGCACGGCACGGTTCCATCTATTCTTTTGCTCCTCTTGCGTTTTGCCAACGACAGAACGAATCGTTCTCGTGGGATCGTAGGAATTTCGTATTTTGGCTATCTGCAATCGAAAGAGATATCGGCACTTTCTATTTATCGTCACGGACGACCGGAAGAAATCCAAACGAGTATCCGAAATCTCGGTTTTTCTTCATCACTCGTACGTCCAGAAGTCGAGAACGGAACGGGAAGATCCTTTTTTGACTCGAAAAACTCTCGGACTCGGCTCGTCCGAGAGCCAGACGCCGTCCGACTGCTTCTATCCGGCGTTCGTCACCCGTGAAAAGATCCGGTTCCGGCGTAGGACGCGATACTTCTACCCCGTAGAAACCACTACCAAAGTAAAAATGGCATACGCCAATTCACAACCGTAGAAAGATCCGCGTACGCAGGACCCACTATTGTCACGCGAAAAGGACTACTGTGAGCTGAGACTGTTTGCAATGGGCTGTGAGTTCTAGGCACGATCTCTATTCCAGTCATGCCTCCAGGGTCAGGGTTGGAGATCACCACTTTCCGAAAACTTTCACCTCATCTGTCGGATACTTTTCGGAACAGGAATTGTAGCACAAAAGGACGGACGTGAAAAGTACAGTCGCACCAGTTCGGTGGTTCTCGCGCGAAAACGTATCCGTGGAGAGATGGCCTATTATAGCCACGAGTCCATCGCGACGTACCTCCTTCTCGGTGAGTAACCCGTGTCCACGAAGAACACGACTGTGTGTAGCTCACGGCAGCAACTCGAAGTAACGCACGAAAAGAGTGAAGATGCGAGTGCGAAGAGGGACGTCGAAGGATAAAGAGCAAGGTGTCACCGTCAAGGATCCCAAGCAGCATGTTTATGTAAACAGGTATCAATTTTTGGCAATCGATGTCAGTTTCTTTCGATTGTCATGCAAATGATATCACATTCATATAAAATTTACGTTCCTATATTTACATCACCAAAGTGGATTTGGATTTCATATGAACTAGACATGACTTCACCTGGTTTAAATGACATATTAAATTGATACAAAATCAGCATCACACCATCCATATGAAATTTTAGACAATTAAAGTTTTATGAAACTGAATTTGTTCTCTCTAAGGAACGTGTTGAACATCACCTCGATATCAACAAGTACATATATCATCACCTTTGCGATACATGATAAATGTACATGTAGGGCCATAGGCGGCCCGGGCATTATGGTGGGGGATTTCAACTGGAGGTGGGAACGTGGTGGCAAGTGGAACATGCAGTTGCTGACCTGCTACCTAGTGTAGGTGGAGGGCCAGCAACAGTCTTCCCATAATGTAACTGGCTCTCCCACATTTGCAGTACCAAGAGTCCTCACTAGATGGAACCCATGTTCACTACACCCTACAAATGGCAATTAATTACCTGCCTTCCTGATTTAGTATAAGGTTTCCCTCCCTTTTTCCTCTTCTTATTATGCAATTTATAAACAGATATGAGGAAAGCATGGAATTATGATATTTTTATTGCAATATAACTCAGGGAATTATTAAATGCTGAAGTTAAATATTGGAATACAGAAGTGTACGGGAATAGGGAAGGGTAGAATGCATAAATTCTCACGTCACACTTTCATATCTTCCTTGCAAAGCAGAACCTAAAGAAAACTGCTCACACCCTCAGGGTTCCGAGTTGGGTGCGGAAGAGGGGAGCAGCAGGTCATCTTGTGTACTTTACTGAATACATTAAAGCTCCAAGAAGTAGAGGCGAATCGGATGTGCGTGGCGGCATTAATTCTCTTCAAAGCTGGTGGTTTACTTATTGTAAAAATAAAGTAAAGTAAAATAAAGTACAAATTCACATGAATTGAAAACATGGACAAAGAATTAACAGCAATGTTACATAATAGTAATATAAACATGCCATTTGGATCTCAATTTTATACATATTTACGTAAACATGCTGCTTGGGATGTAAACGTGAATGTCAATTTCATGTAAAATTCTCGTCAATTTTATATCACGGTTTGCATATCACAGGTGACATTGCAAAAATGTTGACAATATATTGATGAAGGTTTGCGTTAAATATATATAAAACGGACAAAAAATGTACATTAATTTTATAGAATATTAACATAAGCATGTTGCTTGGGACAAGGACTACCCAGTAAAGAGTTTTCGCTGGTCTATCGTCGGTGAATGATTGGTCCGGCCGAGTCACACTTGTGCCGTAGTTGCCCCGTCCATCGCCCTTTCGCTGAGGGGCGCGTAACAACAGTGGCGTATGTGCCGCTAATGTGACTGGAAAAGTTCCCAAAACCGGCGTGAGGTGGATCCTAAGTGGTCGTCGTGGCGAGTCACTTCCCTGTTTCTATCGAAATGAGTCCCCTGTAGCTTTGACACGGTTCTCCGCATAGATCTCACATTGGGATAAACCACAAAATTCCGGTCCGAAGGTTGATGGGAGGATGGTTCTAATTTCCATCCACGTTATCACATTTGTCATTTCTCGACGTAAGAACCAATTGGAAATCATAGGGCGTGCAAGGCGAATCTGACTTATTGTGAGAAAGCAGATACTTCTGCATCTGGATGATGAATGTTACATGAGAAATTTCCAGCTGGGGGCGGTACGGGCTTATTAACTCTCTTTCCCAACTTTTTCCATGTGGATGGTATTAGATCTTTCTAGACGACAGGGGATTAAATCGAAATGAATGGGGCAGAGATGAAGGAGGCTATACTGGCATCGTACTTAAATTTCGCTTTTTATGGGTCTCCTTTCGTGAAAGGAAAGAGACCACTCATGGTCCCGTCCTGTCCGTCCGTGCGTCACACTTTGGTTGTCAGACGATAATTTAAAAAATATTTGCCTGACCAATGCGAAAATTGCCAACTAGGTAGAAAAGAACAAGATACAAGCTGAGTTCGTTTTGTGACGTATTTGCCCCCAAATCGCCATTTTTATCGCGAATTTAGGATTTGAAATTTGCTCACCGGGGGGGGGGAAGACATGAGTTCCCAAGAGCCCTTTAGAATCTGGACCACAATGCGCATTCGCGTAAGACCCAGGCCTTCGTCGCGGTGCCGTGTCCCCAACAAGTGCTGTCATTTCTCTACTAGCCTTTGTGACAGATGGATGGAACCACGCACAACCTTCCATCCTCCCATCGTCATTCCATGAGCACCATGGGTAGATTCGCCAAGTCTAACTGAGAAATGAGATTTTTGATGGTCGAAGCCCGGAAAGAGATGGCAAGTTCAAGTAGGTGACAAAATGAAGGTCTCCTTAAATGAAAGGAGGCCCACGAATGGACTGGGCTTGCCCATCTTCCTTTTCGTCAAGGTACGCATAGTTACCTCTCCAATATGCGTAATAGATGCAGCTTATGGGAAGACATGAGTTCCCAAGAGATCGGAAATGGAAAACAGACGGGGAACTCGGACGTAAGAATTCCTCGAGGGCGACGATTCCTCGTGGTGATGTCATCGTTCACCGTTGT